AAAAGAGCGCCCTTTTTTTGACGCCAATCAATTTGCAAACGCAGCCTCTGTTTTAATGTTGCGGGTTTAACATACGATGACAATCAAAAAAACCACGAAGGCTCATTGTCGACCAGCCTTTTCCGCATAGCCAAAAAGATTCTTCGTCTATTGAAGAAAAGGTGTTTTCGAAGGTCACGCTCCCTTCTTCTTTAAATTTTTCTGCAAAAAATGTTTGTACGATTGACTTAACAGTTTCTTGTTACCTATATATGTGTTCGAAACCGTGTGAGAAGTGTTTCTTTATGAGACTGCGGGTTACGTGATCGTGACATAATTGATAATATTCAGAGATGAATCGAATCTTGTATTTTGTTTCCTTAGTTGCGAGCTTGAGACGTGCGAAACAGAAAAATCGACCAAAATCTTAATTTCGTGGCAAGAGTTGAAAAATCAATTTCTTTCATTTTTGTTCATAGATAGCTTTTAGGTATATAAGAAAACTAACGTAGATTGTTCCCGCCGAAAGCCTTTTCTTCGTGACAAAGAATAGAAGATCGGTTTTCGATGTCGGGGTCTCAGACTGCATTAATTTTTAACCTGAAATTCGCTGACATCAACTTTCCTGGCGTTCGCAAACGAAGCTGGATGGAGAAATTTGGACACTTTCCACGAACAGAAAAACTCTTTTCCTTACACTAGAAGATACTTTCTGGACAATATGGAAGCTGGTCGTACTGAAATAATTTTTAAAATGAGGGATAGGTTTACAGGATACGGAAAAATTTAAGTTCGTTACTCATTTTCGACGGCAATATTTAACATGTGGTATAACTCCGAATTCACTTCCTGCTATTTAAATCACACATTTAGATATTCATTTAAAACATACCTGGGAATTGGCTTGGGTAAGTGAAGGAAATCTCTGTAAGACACCATCGAAGTTCAGGCATTTTCATCGTAGGCTGGCGGTAATTGTCTGTATTGTGTAAACACTTCCAATTTCGAAACGCACATAAATAGATATTTACAGCCTAAAGGCTCGTTTTTCGTACGTCTTGTAGGTTTTCCCTTTGCAAAATTGCTTTTTTCAATCAAAGAATGGGGTTAAAAGGTGACACTGGGTTGTGCCTAAATCATACCGTCCAAAAGGACAGCCGAGGAGTACTAGGAACGAGTTTCCGATTCGGGCCGACTTCGGAAATTCTCGAAAACATCCAATATGGCGGCTCAAGCGTGATTTACGGTTTTGTTGACGAAGCTTGCGTTTATTGTGACCTTCGAACAGTTCTTGGTCCTGTATAGTAAGCAGTCCTTTTATAAATGTTTATCAATTTGTCTTGTCCCGCTGGCCGGTATTACCGAAGAAAATAGTACCGTCCAGCGGGACATCCTGAGTTCTAGCAACATTTGTTAGGAGGTATATCATATCTGGGTTTCTTATTGTTAAAAGGTGATTCTTTAGGTTTCCAAAAGGCCAGGGTAACTAAACAGGAGTGGTTTTTTCTCATAAAAAATGCCTTGTCCTTTTGGCCTGTATTATCTAAGAAAATAGCACCGCCTAGCAGGACATCCTAAACTCTGTCAGCAGTTGCTTGCATGTATTACTACATATCATGCAGCTTGTTATTGTTACGTTGTAATACATACTTTGCTCTCTGAAGGTTTTTTCCTACCAGCTGGAGTCAGCTGAGCAAAGATAGTTTTATTCATTCCTTGTTGTTGTAATCACCTAAGAATGTCCACGCAGGGGGGCACTCTATAGGGAGTACTCAAAACTGACAGCCAAAGGTGCCGTTTTATTGCCAGGGAAGCGTGATTTTATGATATACTTTGGGATGCTTGAGATTCTCATGTTCTTTGAAAAATTCCTGATTGATCACATCAGCAGTCGATTATGTAAATGATATCCTTTCATTCACGTAATACTTCCATCCTTACTACAACCAGGAAAGGCCAGTTAGATCTTTTATTATCATAAATATCATTGTTATTGTTGCTATTATTATTATTTATCATTGTTATTGAATCATTGTTATTTCCTGTCCTCATTATTTCTGTGTTGTTTGACTGGTCAGTAAAACTCACTTTTTTGCTGGTACTATCAAAACAAATCGTACCCTGTAGTTGTAATAGATTATGACAGCAGTTTGATTTTATCATTTTTTAAAATTGTTTTTAAATTTTATTTTGAAAAATTGTTTAAAAATTTTATCAAAAAGTTCATTAAAATATCAATTATCTATTTACTGTTTGATTTTTTTTTGTGACAACAACATTATTCTCACCCCCCCCCCCCCCCCCCC